TATGATGGATCCGCAGACTCGCCGTCTCCAGACCTCTCTGGAAACGACATTCTCTGATGGCTTTTTCCCGCCTTGACGACCGAGGCCAAATTGAATATCTGGGACTCTGGGAAATATCTGCTGCCGGGGAAAGATAACTCTTTTACTAAATTGAAATGTGCTAAGTATCTGCATATCCGCGGCGACATTGGGGGTGGCCCCACGACTAATCTGGCTCCCGCAATCTCATCAATAACTTGTATCTCTTCAGGGTGGGGCGCTGGCCTGAGATTTCAATTCAAATCTTAGAAGATGTTTCTCCCCCATCGCCCATCGAAAGGCCAAAATTAAACAATATTGTACCTCGGTGGAGACCAATTTATCAAACACAAACTCGACCTGTGACGTCATACATCAAGAGGTAGCCACAGCAAGAGGTAGCAGAGTTTCTTCCAGGCATCTCTTCGGGGGGTGCAATCCCCCCGAAGAGAGTCTACCGCCCCCCGCCCCTCTACCCCCGAAGAAAGTCTACCTACCGCCCCCCCCCGAAAATTTCAAGTGTTCCCCGAGAAAAAAGTCTGGAAGAAACACTGAGAGGTAGCCACATCAAGAGGTAGCCTTACCAAGAGGTAGCCACATCAAGAGGTAGCCACATCAAGAGGTAGCCACATCAGGAGGTAGCCACATCAAGAGGTAGCCAGACCAAGAGGTAGTCACATCAAGAGGTAGCCACATCAAGAGGTAGCCAGACCAAGAGGTAGCCACATCAAGAGGTAGCCAGACCAAGAGGTAGCCACATCAAGAGTTAGCCAGACCAAGAGGTAGCCACATCAGGAGGTAGCCAGACCAAGAGGTAGCCACATCAAGAGGTAGCCACATCAAGAGGTAGCTACATCAGGAGGTAGCCACATCAGGAGGTAGCCACATCAAGAGGTAGCCAGACCAAGAGGTAGTCACATCAAGAGGTAGCCACATCAAGAGGTAGCCAGACCAAGAGGTAGCCACATCAAGAGGTAGCCAGACCAAGAGGTAGCCACATCAAGAGGTAGCCACATCAAGAGGTAGCCACATCAAGAGGTAGCCACATCAGGAGGTAGCCACATCAAGAGGTAGCCAGACCAAGAGGTAGTCACATCAAGAGGTAGCCACATCAAGAGGTAGCCAGACCAAGAGGTAGCCACATCAAGAGGTAGCCAGACCAAGAGGTAGCCACATCAAGAGTTAGCCAGACCAAGAGGTAGCCACATCAGGAGGTAGCCAGACCAAGAGGTAGCCACATCAAGAGGTAGCCAGACCAAGAGGTAGCCACATCAAGAGGTAGCCACATCAAGAGGTAGCCACATCAAGAGGTAGCCACATCAAGAGGTAGCCACATCAGGAGGTAGCCACATCAAGAGGTAGCCACACCAGAAGACAGATATATCAAAGAGCTGGTAGCTATAGGCACTGACATGTGAGATGACACAGCCACATTTGCAACAGGAAATACTAAACATACAATAGGGTTTATAATGCCAAACTTTTCAACACACACCAATACAGTAAACAATGAAAGATAACTATGACTATAAGTGAGGTGTGTTGAAAAAACTGTTAACATTGGTTGGTCAATCTCCAATGTCATAAGAATAATAAATACAAATATTACGATTGTGTTATTATATAGGATTAAGCTTAAATATGGATAGTGTCAACAAGTAGAAATACTTTTAACTGTCATCAAACACATTTAGATTTTTATTAACAACTGATTGATTGTATGTATGTATGTATGTATGTATGTATGTATGTATGTATGTATGTATGTATGTATGTATGTATGTATGTATGTATGTATGTATGTATGTATGTATGTATGTATGTATGTATGTATGTATGTATGTATGTATGTATGTATGTATGTATGTATGTATGTATGTATGTATGTATGTATGTATGTATGTATGTATGTATGTATGTATGTATGTATGTATGTATGTATGTATGTATGTATGTATGTATGTATGTATGTATGTATGTATGTATGTATGTATGTATGTATGTATGTATGTATGTATGTATGTATGTATGTATGTATGTATGTATGTATGTATGTATGTATGTATGTATGTATGTATGTATGTATGTATGTATGTATGTATGTATGTATGTATGTATGTATGTATGTATGTATGTATGTATGTATGTATGTATGTATGTATGTATGTATGTATGTATGTATGTATGTATGTATGTATGTATGTATGTATGTATGTATGTATGTATGTATGTATGTATGTATGTATGTATGTATGTATGTATGTATGTATGTATGTATGTATGTATGTATGTATGTATGTATGTATGTATGTATGTATGTATGTATGTATGTATGTATGTATGTATGTATGTATGTATGTATGTATGTATGTATGTATGTATGTATGTATGTATGTATGTATGTATGTATGTATGTATGTATGTATGTATGTATGTATGTATGTATGTATGTATGTATGTATGTATGTATGTATGTATGTATGTATGTATGTATGTATGTATGTATGTATGTATGTATGTATGTATGTATGTATGTATGTATGTATGTATGTATGTATGTATGTATGTATGTATGTATGTATGTATGTATGTATGTATGTATGTATGTATGTATGTATGTATGTATGTATGTATGTATGTATGTATGTATGTATGTATGTATGTATGTATGTATGTATGTATGTATGTATGTATGTATGTATGTATGTATGTATGTATGTATGTATGTATGTATGTATGTATGTATGTATGTATGTATGTATGTATGTATGTATGTATGTATGTATGTATGTATGTATGTATGTATGTATGTATGTATGTATGTATGTATGTATGTATGTATGTATGTATGTATGTATGTATGTATGTATGTATGTATGTATGTATGTATGTATGTATGTATGTATGTATGTATGTATGTATGTATGTATGTATGTATGTATGTATGTATGTATGTATGTATGTATGTATGTATGTATGTATGTATGTATGTATGTATGTATGTATGTATGTATGTATGTATGTATGTATGTATGTATGTATGTATGTATGTATGTATGTATGTATGTATGTATGTATGTATGTATGTATGTATGTATGTATGTATGTATGTATGTATGTATGTATGTATGTATGTATGTATGTATGTATGTATGTATGTATGTATGTATGTATGTATGTATGTATGTATGTATGTATGTATGTATGTATGTATGTATGTATGTATGTATGTATGTATGTATGTATGTATGTATGTATGTATGTATGTATGTATGTATGTATGTATGTATGTATGTATGTATGTATGTATGTATGTATGTATGTATGTATGTATGTATGTATGTATGTATGTATGTATGTATGTATGTATGTATGTATGTATGTATGTATGTATGTATGTATGTATGTATGTATGTATGTATGTATGTATGTATGTATGTATGTATGTATGTATGTGTGTATGTATGTTTGTATGTGTGTATGTGTGTGTGTATGTGTGTGTGTTTGTGTAAAAGCTATTAGTATTTTATAGTATTTTATATAGTAATTTATAAAAAGTACAATAATTCAGTTAAGTTAGCCTTACGTTAGAGCTCAAAGCACACTTAATTGTTCTCGCAGTTTGATTTGTGTTAAGCTTGAAATAAATCGGTGCGGTAAAGTGGGTACAATTACGATCTCTAGATTCTGTGTGGTGTGTGGTATTCTATAATACACCTACTCCCTGCTTGATGTGTGAAAAGCTACAGATCAATTGCCCGCATCAAATCTTGATCTCGACAACACTGATTTGAACAATCGATCACCGATCTGATTAGCTGTCAACTATCCAGGTTACCTCACCTGTGATCGCACCCGTATTACGTGACAGACTGCCCTATCGTGAGCACCTGGCCCGTGGGTGCCTGGCCAAGAGAGCACGTGAGCAGCCAAAGACTCGCACGGCAGGGGGGAACGTGTCGTCGGAAATTGGATCGCTCACACCGAGCATGTGTCTGGGGCATGAGTGTGTTGTATGACAGATGTATGACAGATGCATGACAGATCTCACAGCGCGGACTTGCGACATTGTTGCCTCAATCATCTCATTAAAAAAAAAACGTGACCAAGAAAAAATCGAAATCATAGTTGTATAAGATGTGGGTGTAGTTTGAGCAATAAAATTTGAGTGCCTCGACCTCTCCCACAGCGCAGGTCAAGTTAAATTCGTCTGCCGTGGCGACAGCACATTCAAGGATCCGCACTTGTGTGACAAGAATTTTATGGTTATCTTTTCTCATTAACTCATGTGATGCTACATCATAATTAAAGTTTTAATTTTTCCTGCTTGTTGTGGAAGTTTTTACATTAAACTTTATTACTGAAAAGAATTGTTTGTTGATTTTGTTTTAAATATTTATTTTTCTATCAGTGGCGAACCAGGTTTTTTTTAGTAACACAAATACGTTTTTCCTACCAACATGCCGCAAGAAAAAAACACGTTCAAAGGGGAATAACCATACTTTTTATTTAGAGTTAAAAGCTTACATTTTTATATCCCTTTACTTTGACAGTTTAATTTTTATACTGAGCTATTTTTTTTTTCTAATTTTTTTTTTAAAGAAATGGTAGCCTTTTGGATACTGATTTTTTTTTTTTTTTTTTTTTTTTTTTTTTTTTTTTTTGCAAATAAATCAACTATTCATAAAAGAGAACTTAATTAAGGCATAAGGGCATACTCTAATATAAATAATATAAATCTAGAATCTAGATTATTGTTGGTAATTTGTTAAATATCTTACTTGGTGTATCCATTGCACATATATTTTAATCCATTCCATTTCATTAGTATCTTAATATTAAATTGCAGCAATTCATAAACAAAAAATATAAATAGTCTTCCGATTATTTTGAAAAGAAGTAACCAACCAGTGGATTTTTTAAAATTAAAATATGGTAGAGTACTCTCCCCTATTAGGTAGCTCTTCAGCTGTCAGCTGAAATAATAATACATGACGTCAACATCCTATGCTGAAGTAAACAAATCGTTTTTATTGTTTGGTAGTTTCAGCTATTTCAGTCTTGTCAAGAATTTCTTGATGCGTGGATTTAGTATCAATTATGGCTGCCGAGTCGCCAAGAAAAGGCACCAAATACCTGTGCAATGTTATCAGACCACATCCATTTAGGTAAAAATAAACTACTCTCAGTGATCGAGATTGTCTCAGACTCAGTGTCACTGGCAAGTCTCAATGAAGCATTCACTTCATTAAATCATTAAATCTGAAATCTAGTTATAGTTAATCTAGTAAATCAACTTCCCTTCATTTCCATCATCGTTTGGTTTGACATTTAGTTTTAAATTTTTTAAATTTGTTCTTTTAGAATTTAAAAAAAAAAAATATTAGGCCTAGGCATTAGGATGATTAGGTAGGCCTATTAGTAGTATTTCTCTCTAACTTGGATGCGTGGTCGGTTGCTAACAACAATATGGCGCCCGGACCGGACGTCTGATTTCCGGTGATTTTTCGGCCAAATTCCAGAGACCTTCAACTAATTACATTTAAAAATGTTTACCACGCGCAAAATGGCGGGATTTCCGTGTCATAACAACAAACCATAAGTGGCAGGGTTAGATATGCCAGAAAAGCATTTTAAAATTTGGTTTGGAGAACGGAGGCTAAATTCAAAAGTTGGTTTCATTAAAATTAATAGAATTTAAAAAATATCAACAGTGTAGGTACAGAAATGAGCGAGAACGTAAAGCATTATTAGTTTTATCAGTCTATGAAAAAAGAAATCAAATATTGTGAGCTGTTTTTTTATAAGACCGGCGTCCGTATCACAACCAATTTATTTTTATTTTTTAAAAACCACGTGACCGCTATTTGGTGATCACTAGTGAGGAACTCTTGTGCATGGAGTCTAACCTGATTTGTGGTTTTCTTTAGCTTCAAGCTTAAGAAGAGTTGTCATGGAGAGATGTGTTGGACATGGTAGTGATTGACAATAAATATTAGATTAACTAATTTAGTTCAAAACGAACTAAAAACTCCAAAGTTAGTGCCTAATGGATTAAATATGGATGTCTATTATTCAGTGGTCATGTTTAAATTGATAATTGCGTAAATTCTAGATTTAGTGAGAAAAACTACCTATTAGGGTAAAACTCCATTTTAGCGTATTTTATTCGCCGCTTCACATTCACCTCTGGTTGAGCGTATTTTATTATCAACACAACCAAAGCACACAAACAGGTTAGAAAAACACTAGGATTAGAGCTAGATATACTTTTTTTGATGAATGTGAGTTTTAATTAGAAAAGGTAAAAACAAAGCATTAGGACAGTTCGAATTGAATAGCGTGAAAAAAACCCCTTCCCGGTCGATGGTTCACCATGAGTACATTGACTTTAATTATCAGCATACGTCACAAACATACATGCATAGAGTCATAGCACATTCAATATTCCAAATTTGGATTTTTCTAAAGTTTTGACAATAGTAAATTATCAAATATGAAAACAAAAATTCATAAAGAAATATATTAATAAGCCTAATGTTTTCCTAAAGTTTTCGTGTGTTTTGGTTGTGTTTATAATAAAATACGCTCAACTGGAGGTGAACGTGAAGCGGGGAATAAAATACGCTAAAATGGAGTTTTACCGCCTATTAGAATTAGGGCCTAGGCCCAATATTATTATTATTATTAGCATTAGCCTATTAAAAAATTATTTTAAGTAGGCCTAAGGCTTTAATGGCTAATAAAATAATATAGTACAAAGTGACTCGTAGATGTAAGAAGCACTAGTGTGGCCGGCAGAAGATGCAAAACGCAAAGACCTTAATAGATGTGCAATGCCCTCAAATTAAATACTATTAATAGCTGCAAATTATGCTCAAATTATTCTTTTATTATAGTTGCAGTTGCACAGTGGGATCAAATTATTACCCTTTTAGCCTTATTCTTCTGACATAGCTAATATTAACTATTTGTACAATGTGGTCGAGCAGTTGCGATTTGGGGTGGTTGTCAAAAGTTGAGGGTTTATAGTATAGCCATAGTAAATCTAGTAAAGTTCTAGTCTAACAGTTAAGCATAAAATATTTTTTTAAAATCTATTTTAAATCCCTATTTAAATCTACTATTTAAGTATTTATCATGTTAATACCTGTTCCTCCAAGACAATACATATGCCTAAACAATAAACATTTAGATGACAAGATAGTTGTAGCGCTATGTGCATCTTCTTCCGGCTAGAATCAGCCAATGTAGTAACCAATTAGATCTACGGGGAAAGTTGGTAATTTGTATCCACTAAAGAAAAAAATATGAAACTTTTTAAGATCATAACTATGGTCCCAGAGGTCAGTTTGCAGCAAGCAAACTGTAGTGTAATGATACAAGGTGGGTTTGCAAGCCTGCCATACTGTAGTGTAATGATACTCCCTGTGACATTTTCTCTGTTTGATTGGTTTTTAATCACAAATCTAGGTCATGATATCGCCTTGGCTGCCATTGTTCATTCTATTTACCTCTTATTGTTTACCCGTTGGGTTAGCTGACTGTATTGTATAGAAATATTTTTTTGAAACCACTTTTTTGTTTTTAGCATTGCCAATTTTTGTCTATTAGGTTAACAGAACTGATTCTAGACTCTATATTAGATCTAGGTATAAACCTACTGATTAATTTTTATCTCTAATATTACATTTAAAAAAAAATGATTAAGTAATAGCTGCAAATATTTCAGTTTAAAAAATTATTTTAAAATGCATTTATGTAAACACACTTGCTGTAATCTACACTGGTCGTGTACTTAGGTAATTCCCAAAAAGGTGATTGTTTTTATTGTTATTTATTCAAGAAAATAATCTATACAAAAAAACCAAATGGCTAACAGCTACCCTATTGACACAAATATGTTGACATTAGTAACTATCCAGCTGAAATTGTTTCTCCTACTAGCAGTAAGTGAACAGAAGGGTATGATTACAACTTTATTTTTTGTTTCAGCGACAAGTCTGTAGCAGAAAGTGTCTTTGATTTTATCTCCAATATTTTTGTTTCAGCGACAAGTCTGTAGCAGAAAGTGTCTTTGATTTTATCTCCAATATTTTTGTTTCAGCGACAAGTCTGTAGCAGAAAGTGTCTTTGATTTCATCTCCGATGTGGTCCCACAAGTCAGCCAAGCTTACTCTAGCTCCAGCACTAAAACAGAGGACAAGGAAAAAATTGTCTGGATCAGATTTGAACAGTCTGATATCAATGGTCAGTGGTTGGTGGTCACTTAGCTTTGTAGTGGTCAGTTGCAGAAAAGTGACTCATGCTGTTATTATTTTTTGCACAGCCTACACCATTTTTAAATCTTTTAAAAAAGTTGTTCGATAAGCAACCAAGTTTTACAAACTCTTTTTGAGTTTGTTAGTCAAAAATTGCATGTTATGTTTTACTATTGAAACATAGATTTTAAACCTTTTTTGTTATACTCACTTTTAATCTTTAATACAGTTGTAAACCATTTTAATCCCTTAATTACAGTCTTCATTAGGGTTAGATTAAGTTTTTTGTTAAAATGTTTCAAGGTTGCTTGTATATTGAGAATTTTAGTTCGTCTTAAATTGTTTAATATTACTGAGTGCAGTTATTGTACATACTAACATATTGAATGATATTACTAAGTACAGTTGTGCTTATGCATGGAAGTATGGAATGATGTGTTGACTAATGAATGTGAAGTATGGAATGATGTGTTGACTAATGAATGTGAAGTATGGAATGATGTGTTGACTAATGAATGTGAAGTATGGAATGATGTGTTGACTAATGAATGTGAAGTATGGAATGATGTGTTGACTAATGAATGTGAAGTATGGAATGATGTGTTGACTAATGAATGTGTTATTCTGGTTGTACCAGACCTCCAGTCCAACCCAAATCTACAGGGTATTGACCAGAAAGTTGTGCCGTTGTTGATTGTGCTGGGCTATGTCGATGGTGTGCAGATTTGGCAAGTTATGGTAAGACAATGTTACTTTGTTACACTTCATTAAGGTTACACTTTAACAGTTAATTGATGTTGAATTGTTATGGTGGGTTATAATAATTTTGTAAAATACTTAAATTAATGTTTATTTTAGTCATTTTGATAAGTAGCTGTAGTCCTAAACTTGGAGCGTGAATGTACACTGTTCATTTTCCCACATATTCTACTCACCATTTCCCCACATATCCTACTCACCATTTCCCCACACATCCTACTCCCCATTCCCCACACATTCTACTCACCATTTCCCCACATATTCTACTCACCATTTCCCCACATATCCTACTCACCATTTCCCCACACATCCTACTCCCCATTCCCCACACATTCTACTCACCATTTCCCCACATATTCTACTCACCATTTCCCCACATATCCTACTCACCATTTCCCCACACATCCTACTCCCCATTCCCCACACATTCTACTCACCATTTCCCCACATATTCTACTCACCATTTCCCCACATATCCTACTCACCATTTCCCCACACATCCTACTCCCCATTCCCCACACATTCTACTCACCATTTCCCCACATATTCTACTCACCATTTCCCCACATATCCTACTCACCATTTCCCCACACATCCTACTCACCATTTCCCCACATATCCTACTCACCATTTCCCCACATATCCTACTCACCATTTCCCCACACATCCTACTCCCCATTTCCCCACATATTCTACTCACCATTTCCCCACATATTCTACTCACCATTTCCCCACATATCCTACTCACCATTTCCCCACACATCCTACTCCCCATTCCCCACACATTCTACTCACCATTTCCCCACATATTCTACTCACCATTTCCCCACATATTCTACTCACCATTTCCCCACACATCCTACTCCCCATTCCCCACACATTCTACTCACCACAGCACAATGGTGAGGCTGTGGAGGTGATGTCCCTGCGTCAGGGTCCAGTCTCCTGCCTGAGGGTCCTGCCCACCCCCTGCCCTGATACAGATGACTACAAGCTAAAGAGGCCGCTGGTTGCTGTGGTGGACTCATCCAGGTCGGTGCTGATTATAGTGACTGTTTTTGTTTAATTTATGTGAAGTTCTTCCAATAAAATTTATAAATCTTGGTGCTGCTTCTAAATTATTGTTAGTGGTAATTATTTTTTTGGTTGGTGTTTTACTCAGAAATGGCTGCAGATACACCATGTTCAAGTTTCTCAAATCCCTAGGCCATTTCTAGTGTTAGTGTTAGATTTTGATAGTTTCTAATATTCGGACAAAGTTGTATTCCTTAGTACTGGTATTAAGTTTTGTAATGCTAGCAACATTGTTTTCAAAGTTGAAATGTTAAATTAAAAAAAAAAAATTGCATGCCATTATATTGTCAAACCATCAATTATACTTTATACTTACAATTTTAAAACTCTAAATGGAGTTGTTTTTTTTTAACAGTATTTATATTATTGTGTTTGTATTGTTTTAATATTTTGTCTTGCCAAACTTGTCTTTAATCCTTTGAGCCAGACAGGCCAGTAACCAGCTTCAACATTAGGCATATATGTCAGAAAAGCCGGTTTTCCGGCCCGATGATCTAGCGTCATAGTCATAAATGGGTGGTATACTGTCTTATTAAATATAATTAGAGGTGTACTGAATAAAATGGCGCATATGTATTTTAGTGCGGGATTATGATTCTAAAAATAGATTTTGGGGAAAGTTGAAAGTGAAAAGGTTTGCATTTCGTAAAATACATTGTCAAAAAAAAAATTGGTTATTTTATATTATTTTATTATTCGGTTATAATTATTATTATAATAAAAATAAATAGATAAGTTACTCTAGTTTTGTCATTATGTTTAGTAAGTAGTCTAAAATAATAATCGGTATATAAATATTTTATAAACAAGTGAACTCTTCTTCATTTGCCCCATAGACCTTCAGGTTTGAAAGGGAAACTTTCAAATATTTTATTAGTGTAAACTTTTGTTGTACAAATAATATTTTTTTTTAACCAATGCCGCCGAAATGAAAAACTGAGCCACAGCCATCGACTGTGTTCGTTTTATATACATTGTTATGTTCATACATTGCAAAAAAATAAAGAATTTTAGAATCTTGCTGAATCGTTGTTTGATAATGAGCCTTGACATCAAATGTGGTTTGATTATCTCAAACAGTTCAAAAGTTATAGGCTAAGTTAGAAACAGATAAGTGAAAATTGGTTTGGGCCTGGGAGCTGAGGAAATGGGAGAAATTAGGCTAGGGAGACGAGGGCTCAAAGGGTTTAAACATGTCTGATCTCTTTCAGTGCAGGCAACCAGTTCTGTGGGGTCAAGTTTGTGTCACTGAAGACAGCTGATGAGGTCAAGAGCAACTCTTTCAGGTCATCCGTCATACACAACATTGAGTGCAACAAAAGGTAACTGTCATACAACATAGCTTTAATACAACCTGGCTGGCATACACCATAGCTTTTATTTAACCTGTCATACAACATAGCTTTAATACAACCTGACTGGCATACACCATAGCTTTTATTTAACCTGTCATACAACATAGCTTTCATACATTTTGTCATACAACATAGCTTTCATACATTCTAACTGTCATATAACATAGCTTTCATACAACCAAATTTCCATTTTACACAACTGTAAAACAAAAAGTGATGATTTAACAAAAAAAACTACTTGTCACGTAGCTTTTCAGTTGTTTGTTGGTTAGTGGTATGGCAATGGTGTGATGTTATAAGAAATCCCCCCCCTCCCCCCTCCTCCAATTTCAATGATGTCCAAAAAGTTGTTCTCTCAAGAATTATTTCCAATATGCTTATTCAGTTACATTCATTAATAATTTTTCTTATAAGCAGTGGTTATGGCTAATTGGACAAACACCATTTTTTTTAAAAAATAGCCAATTCTATTTAAAAAAATTGTTCACTCAATACAAGTACCAGTTGGTAAATAACTTTGTTTCAATTCAAGTTCACTACCATTTTTAACAAAACTGCTATTGATTCAGCCTGATAGCAGTTTAATGTCAACTTCCTTGAGTACAGTTGGTTTCAGCTTGTTATTGTATTTGATTGTGTTGGTTACATACAATCCTGTCTATCTATCTAGGTTTATTGTGATTGTGTTGGTAACATACAATCCTGTATATCTAGGTTTAATGTGATTGTGTTGGTAATGTACAATCCTGTATATCTAGGTTTAATGTGATTGTGCTGGTTACATACAATCCTGTATATCTATCTACTTTTATTGTGATTGTGTTGATTACATACAATCCTGTATAATACTGTCTATCTATCTAGGTTTATTGTGATTGTGTTGGTAACATACAATCCTGTATATCTATCTAGGTTTATTGTGATTGTGTTGGTAACATACAATCCTGTATATCTATCTAAGTTTATTGTGATTGTGTTGGTAACATACAACCCTGTATATCTATCTAGATTTATTGTGATTGTGTTTGTAACATACCATCCTGAATATCTGTCTAGGTTTATTGTGATTGTGTTGGTAATATACAGTCCTATCTATCTAGGTTTATTGTGATTGTGTTCCAAGAGAAACTGGCTGTGTTTGATGCTTGCAGACTCAAGCAGTTGCAGTGGATTACAGGTGAGATTGTCTTTACTGGTGGCCAGTGTTTGGAGTTTGTGTTGACTGGTGGCCAGTGTTTGGAGTTTGTGTTTAGTGGTGGCCAGTGTTTGGAGTTTGTGTTTAGTGTTTGATGGCTGTGATATCAGTTAGTAGGGTAAACCCAGACCACGTTGACACTATAAAGTTGGAGTTTGTGTTTAGTGTTTGGTGACTGTGATGGCTGTGTCAGACAGAAACTGTTCTGTCCTGCCTCGTCTCAGTTGGTGTGGTAAATCCAGACTACATTGACACTGTAAAGTTGGAGTTCGTGTTTAGTGTTTGGTGACTGTGATGGCTGTGTCAGACAGAAACTGTTCTGTCCTGCCTCGTCTCAGTTGGTGTGGTAAATCCAGACTACATTGACACTGTAAAGTTGGAGTTCGTGTTTAGTGTTTGGTGACTGTGATGGCTGTGTCAGACAGAAACTGTTCTGTCCTGCCTCGTCTCAGTTGGTGTGGTAAATCCAGACTACATTGACACTGTAAAGTTGGAGTTCGTGTTTAGTGTTTGGTGACTGTGATGGCTGTGTCAGACAGATACTCTTCTGTCCTGCCTTGTCTCAGTTGGCATTGTATACCCAGACCACATTGACACTGCAAAGACTCAGCTTGTGCAGTGGCAGTACAGTATTGGCGCATCTTATTCTAGAATATTCTCTTCCTTCTGCTGTACCAGTGACTGACTTGCAACTTTTATCTGCCAGTATTTGGGACATGCTGAAGTATTTTATTTGCTCTGGTCACTGGTACCCACACTACTGATGCTGTCACATGGTCAGGCTACAGTGGAGCGAGGCTTCAGTGTCAACAAGGATGTTATGTTGGTGAATATGCAGTAAAAATCTGTGGTGGGCAAAAGGTTGATATGTGACCATGTTGCCAGTTTGGGGGGTGATGTCAACATCACTAGTGATGTGCTTATGGCAGCCGCCACATGGGAATATTGGTTGTATTTAGAAGGAAAAGCTGAAGAAGAAAGAAAATTGTCAATGAAACCCAAGAGGGATGGCAGCCTACAAGAGCTAGATGGGTTAAAACTAAAGAAAGTGTGGTTGGAAAAGAATCAGCAGCAGTAGCGTAGCGGGGGGGGGGGGGGGGCTTATGTCCCCGGGCGCCAACCTTAGGGGGCGCCAAAATGGGTTGGAAAAATAAATTGAAAGGTTGAGGGGGGTGCAAATTGAAAGTTTGAGGGGGGGGGGGGTGCAAATGGAAATCTCGAGGGGGGGGGGTGCAAATCGAAAAGTTTGTCCCCGGGCGCCGGGAAGGGTCTCTATGCCTCTGATCAGCAGATAAACTTTCTGAGAAAGCTGAATTCACCAGCATCCACAAATATCTCACTGAATCAAATGCCATGTGCCGTGCTGAATAAAGCAAACAGGAGCAACTAGTGATTCTTGCTTTGGAGGTCTACTCCAAAGTCTAAAAAATTAGTGGATTGTAAAGTGTACGAACATTCTGTATATATGTACATAAAACTGTGTATAAATCTGTACATAAGTTCTTACAAGTGTTCTCAAAGTGTTTTTGTCGTGAGTGTGCTGAAAATTTTTAGTTCCTATTAAATTTATCATTACTTTAAAATTGTGCCATTGTTTTATGCATTTTATTATGTCCTTAAATCTCTTGAAAAACTCATGGAATTTGATAATCTATTTGGTGCAGGAAACCTGTCCCAGTTTTTTGAAGTTTGTAGTTAGTGTATGCCAGAGTTTGTACTTTAAATATGATGTATGTTTGTATTTAGTCTTTTGTTCACCAGTGTTTGTAAATACCCTAACATGTGTGTATGTTGAACAGTGTTTGTAAATACCCTAAGAAGTTTTTATGTTTACCAGTGTTTGTATGTACCCTAAGGTGTTTGTATATTTACCATTGTTTGGATATATTCTTAGAAGTTTGTATGTTTATCAGTGTTTGTATGTACCCTAAGATGTTTGTATGTTGACCAGTGTTTGTATGACCCTAAGGTGTTCGTATGTTTACCATTGTTTGTATGTTGACCATTGTTTGTATGTTGACCATTGTTTGTATGACCCTAAGCTGTGTGTATGTTGACCAGTGTTTGTATGTTGACCATTGTTTGTATGTTGACCATTGTTTGTATGTTGACCAGTGTTTGTATCTACCCTAAGCTGTGTGTATGTTGACCAGTGTTTGTATGTTGACCATTGTTTGTATGTTGACCAGTGTTTGTATGTTGACCATTGTTTGTATGTTGACCAGTGTTTGTATCTACCCTAAGATGTTTGTATGTTGACCATTGTTTGTATGACCCTAAGGTGTTCGTATGTTTACCATTGTTTGTATGTACCCTAAAATGTGTATATGTTGACCATTGTTTGTGTGACATTAAGGTGTTTGTATGTTGACCAGTGTTTGTATGACCCTAAGGTGTTCGTATGATTACCATTGTTTGTATGTAGGCCTACCCTTAAATGCTTGTATGTTGACCATTGTTTGTATTATGACCCTAAGCTGTGTGTATGTTGACCAGTGTTTGTATGTTGACCAGTGTTTGTATGTTGACCATTGTTTGTATGACCCTAAGATGTTTGTATGTTGACCAGTGTTTGTAAATACCCTAAGATGTTTGTATGTTGACCATTGTTTGTATGACCCTAAGATGTTTGTATGTTGACCATTGTTTGTAATGTTTACTCCAGGCTGCTACCCATGCCCAGGCCCTAAGATCAACCCTATAGCTTTAGGAGACAGGTGGCTGGCCTATGCAGACAAAAGGGTGAGTACTATAGATGATGTTGGAAGGATAAGCCTGATGTAAACAAATGATTGGCAATATGTGTGTGAGAGATGCACTTTGCTTCATGTTTTTGCTGTCTGTATAGCTTGATTGATTCCTGCCTGGAAGTGTGCTACTAATGTGTCATCTGTTTCAGCTAATGTGTCATCTGTTTCAGCCAAGTGTGTAGCTAATGTGTCATCTGTTTCAGCCAAGTGTGTAGCTAATGTGTCATCTGTTTCAGCCAAGTGTGTCATCTGTTTCAGCCAAGTGTGTAGCTAATGTGTCATCTGTTTCAGCCAAGTGTGTAGCTAATGTGTCCATCTGGTTCAGCTAATGTGTCATCTGTTTCAGCCAAGTGTGGAGCTAATGTGTCATCTGTTTCAGCCAAGTGTTTAGCTAATGTGTCATCTGTTTCAGCCAAGTGTGTAGCTAATGTGTCATCTGTTTCAGCTAATATGTCATCTGATTCGGCTAATATATCATCTGTTTCAGCTAATGTGTCATCTGTTTCAGCTAATGTGTCATCTGTTTCAGCTAATATGTCATCTGTTTCAGCTAATGTGTCATCTGTTTCAGCTAATGTGTCATCTGTTTCAGCTAATGTGTCATCTGTTTCAGCTAATGTGTCATCTGTTTCAGCTAATGTGTCATCTGTTTCAGCTAATGTGTCATCTGTTTCAGCTAATGTTTCATCTGTTTCAGCTAATGTGTCATCTGTTTCAGCCAAGTGTGTAGCTAATGAGTCATCTGGTTCAGCTAATGTGTCCTCTGTTTCAGCTAATGTGTCATCTGTTTTCAGCTAATGTGTCATCTGTTTCAGCTAATGTGTCATCTGTTTCAGCTAATGTGTCATCTGTTTCAGCTAATGTGTCATCTGTTTCAGCTAATGTGTCATATGTTGCAGCTAATGTGTCATCTGTTTCAGCTAATGTGTCATCTGTTTCAGCTCCTGCCAGTTCACCAGTCTTGTGGTGGCATGTCAGGTGATGGGTCCCAGTCATACGCAGCAACAGTCATCAGCGCAGCTAAGGTAGGGTACACCGCATCCAACAAATCTAAGGTATTGTACACAGCATCCAACAAATCTAAGGTAGGGTACACAGCATCCAACAAATCTAAGGTAGGGTACACAACATCCAACAAATCTAAGGTAGGGTACACAACATCCAACAAATCTAAGGTAGGGTACACAACATCCAACAAATCTAAGGTAGGGTACACAGCATCCAACAAATCTAAGGTAGGGTACACAGTATCCAACAAATCTAAGGTAAGGTACACAACATCCAACAAATCTAAGGTAGGGTACACAACATCCAACAAATCTAAGGTAGGGTACACAGTATCCAACAAATCTAAGGTAAGGTACACAACATCCAACAAATCTAAGGTAGGGTACACAACATCCAACAAATCTAAGGTAGGGTACACAACATCCAACAAATCTATGGTAGGGTACACAGCATCCAACAAATCTAAGGTAGGGTACACAGTATCCAATAAATCTAAGGTAAGGTACACAACATCCAACAAATCTAAGGTAGGGTACACAACATCCAACAAATCTAAGGTAGGGTACACAACATCCAACAAATCTAAGGTAGGGTACACAGCATCCAACAAATCTAAGGTAGGGTACACAGCATCCAACAAATCTAAGGTAGGGTACACAGCATCCAACAAATCTAAGGTAGGGTACACAACATCCAACAAATATAAGGAAGGGTACACAGTATCCAACAAATCTAAGGTAGGGTACACAACATCCAACAAATATAAGGTAGGGTACACAACATCCAACAAATCTAAGGTAGGGTACACAACATCCAACAAATCTAAGGTAGGGTACACAACATCCAACAAATCTAAGGTAGTGTACAAAGCATCCAACAAATCTAAGGTAGGGTACACAGCATCCAACAAATCTAAGGTAGGGTACACAACATCCAACAAATCCTTGAAATCTTGAGGTTTATCTAATTGTTCAAACTTACACATCCTTCAAATGATGATTTCATTCAAAATGTACCTCATTATTAAGTCATTGTGATATATAAATGTATATTATTTCCAAAAACTTTGTATCAAAATAATAATTTAAAAATTAAACCTGTTTTTGAATGTCCTAATTTTTTTAAAAGCACTTGCTAGAAATGTAAAAAAATTACACTGGACATCCCCAGGGTGCCTTCAAAGGTCTGACCATGTTTGGTGAGGCCATGGTCAGCAGCGTGACAGGAAGTAAACCTGCCACCGTGGTCAAGAAACCTGACCCCTCCCCCCCTGATGAAAATGGCTTTCGCCCTGGCATAGTGTCAGTGTATGACCTGAAATCTGCCAGATCAGAGCAGGTAATTAATTTTTTTACTAATTGGATTAATTTAGTCCATCTAACACCACTTGTGTCCAGACTGCTACAAGCTACACATTATTAAACAAGTTTAAACATTTTAAAAATTGTATTCAAAGGGCAGTAATCCATTTTATTTGGTTGTCATTTCAAGGGAAGTAAGTCTGAAATCTCCCAGTTCTATGTGTCAGAGGACCCTGATGTGGAGGGGTTAATTGCCCATTTCCACGCTCATGCTAATGAACCTGTCGCTGCCATGGCCTTTGACCCCAGTGGTATTCTCCTAGTGACTGCCTGTAAATTAGGTAACTACATTTTGTTTTCTTGTTAATGAAGAAAGCCTTTGATATTTTACCAGTAGCTCACAAACTGCAAACAGTTCACAAAATCCACGGATAACCTCAGCCCACGAAGTCCATCAATCCACAACTGTCCACTCCCTCACTAAATCCACACACCACACAATCCACCAACTATATCCAGGTATATGAAAGACATGTGTCAGTGGTGGTATGTGACACCCCCTGATCTGTGTCAGTTACCTGAGATGACCTACTTCTCTCCCTGCCCTCCCCAGGTCACAACTTCCACGTGTTCAGCCTAGTCGCCCACCCCTGCTCGTCATCACTTGGTGCGGTGCACCACCTGTACACCCTGCATAGGGGGGACACAACAGCTAAGGTGAGTGGTCATTTTAGTGTAACTTAAGCACAACAGCCAAGGTGAGTGGTCATTTTAGCATACTTTAAGCAGAACAGCCAAGGTGAGTGGTCATTTTAGCATACTTTAAGCACAACAGCCAAGGTGAGTGGTCATTTTAGCGTAACTTAAGCACAACAGCCAAGGTGAGTGGTCATTTTAGCATACTTTAAGCACAACAGCCAAGGTGAGTGGTCATTTTAGCGTAACTTAAGCCCAACAGCCAAGGTGAGTGGTCATTTTAGCATACTTTAAGCACAACAGCCAAGGTGAGTGGTCATTTTAGCGTAACTTAAGCACAACAGCTAAGGTGAGTGGTCATTTTAGCATACTTTAAGCAGAACAGCCAAGGTGAGTGGTCATTTTAGCATACTTTAAGCACAACAGCCAAGGTGAGTGGTCATTTTAGCGTAACTTAAGCACAACAGCCAAGGTGAGTGGTCATTTTAGCATACTTTAACCCTTTCCCCGGCGACTGGGTGTAATCGACCCGAAGTCGCTATATTTTTGCTCATATCTCGAGTCTCGTTAAATAAATTTTTCTGGGCCTTATTCCCATCTATAAGGTGGTTGGGATGAACACATCGGAGGTTGTAACTTTTTAAAATATGCGTAAAAAATTTTTTTATGAGGGTTTGAAATTTTTTTATACGGTCCCTGGCAACTGGGTTTTACACACCCGTACACAATTTTGAATTGAAAAAATATTTATAACTTATAAACTGGCTTCTAAATATTTGTTTTTACTCATTGTGGGTTAAGTCATTGTGTTAAATTTTCAAAGTTTAACTGTAAATTAACAATCTGTAGGTATTTGAGCAACAAAAATATCAAACAGGATTGAAGTAATCAACTTTAGTAATAAAATAATAGAACAGTAGAACGTTTTAATAATTTGCACATCAGAGAGCACAGTTGTTAGATAAAATTAAAATAACTGGACATTTCCTTTTGCTGGCAGGGAACTTTAGTTTTCTTTGACAAAATATGGTCACCCTTTTAGTGGTGTTACATGAGTCACATGCCCTAAATATTTTAATTCCATACTTATCGGAATTGCTTGGTATGTATTGGATAAATCTACTCCCACCTCTAAAATCAACCAGTTGCCCAATTAGTAATGATCTCTCCAGAAACATAACACCCTGCTAAATTTGTATGGAATATCTACCATATTGGAAGCAAATATACCATGAGCCTTATGGACTGTTATTGTAATTGTTGTGAAAGTGAATATGACCCAGAAGGTTGCTGAATCTCTTCATAGAAAATTCTGCCTTCAAAAACTTCAATAATTAGAACTGAATGGACATACAACTAAATTGTTATTCTGCAGAGTGCCAGTGTCTCCTCTTGCTTTCTCTCCATCCCTGCTAATGCAGTCAAATATTGGTTGTATTATTTTTTGTATTCATGTACAGAAGAAATATTTTGAGTCAGGCTGTTTATATTTTTCCTGGGATTAGCACTTCAGGCAGTGGTCTAGTGTACTGTTACTTTGTCTTTCCTGAAAATATTTCTTTTTCTTCACTTTGCACCATCAGTCTCATTTCATTATGTGTGCCAACTGTTGACACATTATTGATAGTTGAAATGCAGTATATTGGGTAGACCTTGTCATCAGAGCTGGTTGAAACTGAACCAGGAATATCTTCTACCTCTGATACTGATGGCTGCAATTCTTCATCTTCTACCTCTGATACTGATAATTCAGACTCAAAACTTGTTGGTAATTTTCACCTGCTATACCAAAACAGGCAAATATATTCCTTTATCATTAGCCTTGAGTTTAGACAAAAGCATTCAAGACTTGTTTCTGTTGTGTTCTCAATAATGTTTATGGCTATTTATAAACCTTACTCTTAGGGTCACAACCTGTAGAACACCCACCCCACTCCCAGTTTGATCAATTCATTGCCCAGTATCAACTTTCAAGCAGCATTACTAAGTTATTTTGCCTTTTTGTCCTCATTTGTACTCCTAATGAGGTTAATGTCAAGTTACTCTAAAATGCTCCACTGTCTCTATCTACATTCCAGAGCTCCCTAAAAGAGTACAAATCACCATATATGTCCTCCCACAGGCAATCTTACCCCTGCATTTCATTAACCTATTGTAACTCTAAACTACAGTTCTGTCTCTAACTGCAAGTCAGAGCTCCAGCAAAGAGTATAAATCACTACATGTGTCCACCCACAGGTTAACTCTTGCTTGAGAATCCCATCAACCACTAGTATCATATTACAGCTCTCCTATTGACAATAACCTGTCTTGGGTTCCCCATGGCCACAATGCCCTGAATACCTTAACTGTGTCAGTATTGTTACCCACCCCACAATGAACAAAGAAAAGAATTTACTATGAGAAAGTCTTCGGGTGTAATCCACCCAGTTGCCGGGGACAGGGTACCAAATATGTTGCCGGGGAAAGGGTTAAGCACAACAGCCAAGGTGAGTGGTCATTTTAGCGTAACTTAAGCCCAACAGCCAAGGTGAGTGGTCATTTTAGCATAATTTAAGCACAACAGTCAAGGTGAGTGGTCATTTTAGCGTAACTTAAGCCCAACAGCCAAGGTGAGTCACCTAGCTAGCACAACAGCACAAATGGTAGAATGCATAGTGTCATCCATGTAATAGTGATGGTCATTGTCAGAAAAATTATTACAAAATTATCATTTGTATCAGGGGTCTCCAATCTTTTCAGCCAGAGGGCCGCATTAACTATCAAATATAAGTTCGGGGGCCAGAGTTTCTTCCAGGTATATCATTGGGGTGGCATTTTTCCTCAGCTAAATACAATAAACATTTTATTCCGTGGACTAAAAGATCTCCGACAGCCGGATGAGAGGAACTCTCGGGCCGCATCCGACCCGCGGGCTGTAGTTTGGAGACCCCTGATTTGTATTTAAAAAAAATTCTTATCTAAAAAAAAATATAAAAAATCCACGCAAATTGTATTTGTTAAGGTACTTTTAGAAGTATTCTAAGAGTATATTTTTATTTAACTTTTAGCTTAAAAAAATAAAATTAAAAATATACCTAATTTTCTGTCTTTTAAAAAGGTATTTTCATTTTTGCAATGCTGTGAACTAAATTGGTCTGTTTTATACAGGTTGTGGATATAGCCTTCACTAACGACAGTAGATGGGTGACAGTCAGCACACACAGGGGGACAACTCATGTTTTCCCTATCACTCCTTATGGTGGTGAGTTGTCTTTCTTTACTTCAAAGGGCTATAACCCAGTAATTAACAAGTTGATCTCTTGTTACCTTTCTTGATTATGTGCAATTTCCAGGGACGATCTGTGCCCGGACACATTGCCAGGCCCGTGTGGTCAACAGGGTGAGCAGGTTCCACAAGTCTGCTGGCTTGGACGAGATAGAACCTGGGGCAGCAGGCAGACACAGCCCCATACTGTCCAGTAGTCCTGGCACCTCAGGTAGGTTAAACAATACCTGCTTGTTGGCAGGTATTTCACTGCCAACACCTGGTAGATACAAAAATGCCTGCTTATCAACACATAAAGCCCCACATTCCCAACTGACATAGGTACCTGGGTTTAAATTTTATGATTTGGAAAACAGAGCTAGATAAATCAACTGAGATAGAAAAACAATTGAGCTAGTTTTATTTTTTAACTGCCTTAAGTTTTTTGTTTAACTAAGACCTCTCTTTTGCTTTCTTTTTTTTCAATAAATTATTGCCTAAATTTTTGTTCCTAAGGTCCGCAGGAGAGTTATCCCACACTGATCAGACAAAATGCCTTGCGCAACAACACTGGCAACCCACGCCTACCCCCCTATCCCCACCCCACCCCCGTGGCCCCCCTGGCTCAACTCAAACAAACCCTGTCCATCCCTGGCCTGGGTCCCCCCACAGGATCCAGCCCACGGCCAAAAAGTCCGACCCACTCTACGTCTGCTCATGACAATGTGTTTGCTGTGTGTGCAACATTCTCCACCCAGAGGCTGTGGACTGCAACCATTGATAGACGAGGTAACTGTCAATGTAACTGTTGAGATAACTGTTGAAATTGTGGAGGTAACTGTTGAAATTGTTGAGGTAAATGTTGATCTAATTGTTGAAATTGTTGAGGTAACTGTTGATCTAACTGTTGAAATTGTTGAGGTAAATGTTGATCTAACTGTTGAAATTGTTGAGGTAATTGTTTATGTAACTGTCAGTGTAATTGTTCATGTAATTGTTGAAGAAATTATTGACCTAGCTGTTGATGTAATTGTTGATGTAATTGTGGGTGTAATGTAACTGTTGAAACTGTTGAGGTAATTGTTTATGTAATTGTTGATGTAATTGTTGAGGTGATAGTTCGTGTAATTGTTGAAGAAATTATTGACCTAGCTGTTGATGTAATTGTTGATGTAATTGTTGATGTAATTGTGGGTGCAATGTAACTGTTGAAACTGTTGAGGTAATTGTTTATGTAATTGTTGATGTAATTGTTGAGGTGATAGTTCGTGTAATTGTTGAAGAAATTATTGATCTAGCTGTTGATGTAATTGTTGATGTGACTGTTGATGTGAATGTTGAGGTAAGACAAGAATCATAAGGCTATATGTGCCCTATGTGTTGTGTAAGTGTTATGACTTTAGTACTGATGTGTGTTGTCAGTGATTTGTTTCCCCAGATGGTAAGAATGATGGGGGATCTAATCCCAGGTGTGGTCAAACATTGACCAGTGAAATTTTACAGCTAAAACATGTTTGATTACATTAACTGTCCCTGTGAAATTTTACAGCTAAAACATGTTTGATTACATTAACTGTCCCTGTGAAATTTTACAGCTAAAACATGTTTGATTACATTAACTGTCCCTGTGAAATTTTACAGCTAAAACATGTTTGATTACATTAACTGTCCCTGTGAAATTTTACAGCTAAAACATGTTTGATTACATTAACTGTACCTGCCCTTTCCCCCCCCCCCCCCCCTAAAAAAAACAAAAATAAAACTAAACCATTGGCTGTACCACCTGCACAGATCACCTGAAGAAGACAGCTGTTGACTCCCTGTTTATACTGAACCAAAATGGCTGCCTGAGTGAGTACCACCTAGAGCCACGGCCCAGACAACATGCCGGCCCTGAGAAACACCTGGATGACTCACCCATTGAACTAGAGGTCAAAGGTCTCATTCAGTGGAACCTCCAGAGGTCAGTTCAGAGCTAAACTTTAGTGGAGCCTTCAGAAGCAATACCAGATATACATTTCTGAAAAACCTTTAGGGGTTTGCCTAAAGCAGCAAACTATATGTTAATTTAGGCTTCAGAGGATGAGGTCAGAGCTTATTTTTAAGGAAAAACCAAAAAAAAAGCTCACAGCTTTATTTTAACTTTATCAGTGAACTAAATTTTTCACTTGAGCGTGACTCATTTCTCACAGGTACCTAACATAAGTTAGAAAACTAGCCTTGTGCTTAATAGACACTTTAAGTTTTGATAACGTCTTTGTTCAAACCTGTGCTGTGAGGATTTTATCTTTGTGAAGCTTAACACTCACGTTGTAGTTGCTGGCTAGTGTATGACGTGTGTTTATTGTCAAGGTCACTCTCCTCACAAGAGGTCAAGCCACCCCTGGCGTCCAACAACCCCCTGATTGTGGCGTGTGAGGCCGTACAGACTCAGCAGGCGTCTTACTCCGCAGGTGAGTAGTTGAGACACCTGTCCCCACACCTGCCCCCACACCTGTCCCCACACCTTTAGTTTAGTATGTCGTACAGACTCAGCAGGCGTCTTACTCCGCAGGTGAGTAGTTGAGACACCTGCCCCCACACCTTTAGTTTAGTATGTCGTACAGACTCAGCAGGCGTCTTACTCCGCAGGTGAGTAGTTGAGACACCTGTCCCCACACCTTTAGTTTAGTATGCCGTACAGACTCAGCAGGCGTCTTACTCCGCAGGTGAGTGCTAGTTGAGACACCTGCCCCCACACCTTTAGTTTAGTATGTCGTACAGACTCAGCAGGCGTCTTACTCCGCAGGTGAGTGCTAGTTGAGACACCTGCCCCCACACCTTTAGTTTAGTATGTCGTACAGACTCAGCAGGCGTCTTACTCCGCAGGTGAGTAGTTGAGACACCTGTCCCCACACCTGCCCCCACACCTTTAGTTTAGTATGTCGTACAGACTCAGCAGGCGTCTTACTCCGCAGGTGAGTAGTTGAGACACCTGCCCCCACACCTTTAGTTTAGTATGTCGTACAGACTCAGCAGGCGTCTTACTCAGCAGGTGAGTGCTAGTTGAGACACCTGCCCCCACACCTTTAGTTTAGTATGTCGTACAGACTCAGCAGGCGTCTTACTCCGCAGGTGAGTGCTAGTTGAGACACCTGCCCCCACACCTTTAGTTTAGTATGTCGTACAGACTCAGCAGGCGTCTTACTCCGCAGGTGAGTGCTAGTTGAGACACCTGCCCCCACACCTTTAGTTTAGTATGTCGTACAGACTCAGCAGGCGTCTTACTCCGCAGGTGAGTAGTTGAGACACCTGTCCCCACACCTGCCCCCACACCTTTAGTTTAGTATGTCGTACAGACTCAGCAGGCGTCTTACTCCGCAGGTGAGTAGTTGAGACACCTGCCCCCACACCTTTAGTTTAGTATGTCGTACAGACTCAGCAGGCGTCTTACTCCGCAGGTGAGTGCTAGTTGAGACACCTGCCCCCACACCTTTAGTTTAGTATGTCGTACAGACTCAGCAGGCGTCTTACTCCGCAGGTGAGTAGTTGAGACACCTGTCCCCCACACCTGCCCCCACACCTTTAGTTTAGTATGTCGTACAGACTCAGCAGGCGTCTTACTCCGCAGGTGAGTAGTTGAGACACCTGTCCCCACACCTGCCCCCACACCTTTAGTTTAGTATGTCGTACAGACTCAGCAGGCGTCTTACTCCGCAGGTGAGTAGTTGAGACACCTGCCCCCACACCTTTAGTTTAGTATGTCGTACAGACTCAGCAGGCGTCTTACTCCGCAGGTGAGTGCTAGTTGAGACACCTACCCCCACACTAGTTTAAGTTAGGTTAGGTTAAGTTAGGTTGGGTTGGGTTAGGTTGAACCATGTAAAGCTATATTACTGTTAGGGTGAGTGTTTATTAAATGTAGATACTCATTTGTTAAATATAAATTCAGGTAAGTGTTAAGTTTGATACTCATTTGTTAAATATAAATTCAGGTAAGTGTTAAGTTTGATACTCATTTGTTAAATATAAATTAAGGTAAGTGTTAACTTAGAAACTCATTTGTTAAATATAAATTCAGGTAAGTGTTAACTTAGATACTCATTTGTTAAATTTAAAAACTAAAGGTTTGGTGTTATCCTTATGGTTAGTTTGTTTGCTTTTAGTTGCGGGTAAACTCAGTGGATGTTGGAGTTAATTATAATTAAATGTCAAGTTTAGGATTGAGTGGTGTTAGGTAAAGATTTTGTTCCAGCTGTTATATTGTTTACCAAATTTGAAAAACAGCACAAACATAGAGTGTTGTGTAGTACTTTGTGACACTAACCTATACTTTCTTACACTACCATAATCCCATGTTGATAAACAAATGAAGAATAAATAAAGTAGCAGCATCCCACCCAGCTCTGGGTAAAGCTGCAAGAAACCGAATACAAGTCAATAGGTAACAAAAACATATGGATGCTCAAAAGTTTGTGTTGTTTTATAGAAACCTCAGAGCCAGGCCCTGTAACAAGGTACGGCTCTAAAGACAGCCTGTCCAGTGACCAGGGAACCTACGGCAGTAAAGAGGATCTGGACGAGCAGTGGGTCTCACAGGTTAGTGGTGGCTCATGCAAGCCCTTGTGGTTTATCTAGTCTTCTTGTGGGGAGAACTCTTTATATTCTAAAGCCAGAGTTACCTGTTCCTGCATTTTATGGTTTAATTTGCTGTTTAGGTTTTCAGACACATAAGTTAAATTTTCTTAAAATAAGAACAGTAAAATTTCAAATTTCCTTCTGAATTATGATGGATCTCTTAGAAAGTTTTTAAAATAACAATTTTCCCATTCAGACGAAATTTTAGTAAAGAAGTGAAATGAGTCTACACTTAATGAATAAAGCTAAATGTACAGCCTCGTGTCTACAGGTAGAGATTATCACCCATGTGGGCCCCCACAGGAGGCTGTGGATGGGCCCTCAGTTCTCATTCAAGTTTGTATAGAAGTGAAATAAGTCACCACTTAATGAATAAAGCTAAATGTAGAGCCTCGTGTCTACAGGTAGAGATCATCACCCATGTGGGCCCCCACAGGAGGCTGTGGATGGGCCCCCAGTTCTCATTCAAGTTTGTATAGAAGTGAAATAAGTCACCACTTAATGAATAAAGCTAAATGTAGAGCCTCGTGTCTACAGGTAGAGATCATCACCCATGTGGGCCCCCACAGGAGGCTGTGGATGGGCCCCCAGTTCTCATTCAAGTTTGTATAGAAGTGAAATAAGTCACCACTTAATGAATAAAGCTAAATGTAGAGCCTCGTGTCTACAGGTAGAGATCATCACCCATGTGGGCCCCCACAGGAGACTGTGGATGGGCCCCCAGTTCTCATTCAAGACCTACCAGAACCCGCAGACCACCACCATCCTCTCTTCCTCCTCCTCCTCCCTCTTTTCTGGCAGCCCTGAGATGTCCGCACACGTCACCACCATGGACATACTGACTGATGACTGCGACCTGGAGAGTTTGAAGTAAGTGCTGGGTCTAACTTAACCCAAATGTTTCTGTTCAGTATCTTTTTACAGTGAAAAATAGAGTCATCTCAATCATGAGTTTAAAGTGACCATAAACTGACCTATAAAGACAGTCAACTATACATTTTATAAAGTGCTTGAATTAGGTCGACTTGCAGATGCGACAGATAGATGAAATTTGGTGATGAGATAGCTCTGGTGCTGTAGGCACCTGAAAAAATACTAGATTCTCAGAAATGTCATACTAAGTGGTTAATCAGTACTTTTACTCCTCAATTTTAATTGTTAAGGGGATGTAACTGCGTCATGAATATACATTTATAATTTCCCCCGCTCTTTGATTACACAAAAAAACGAAGTAAACAGTTGGATAAAAGAAAAATTCCTTGAAAATATATTTAAACGGTTTTCAAATAGGGATGAAAATTTATAAAAATTGACTATTTTTATAGCTAAATTTTGCCAACGTAAAGGGATATAGCTGCGTCTCAAATTTCAACTTTAAAATTTTCTCAATTCTTTGATTACACTAAAAAGTAACCGATAATAACTTGTGGCTAAAATAATAAAATCCTTTAAAATTTTATTTTCGTAATTTTCAAATAGATGTAAAAATAAACCATCTGTAATAACTAATATTTGAGCAGGTCATTTGCAAAACCTGCTTCCCATTTTTTGCTCTTATATCCTTCTTAACTAAGTGTTATAGTTTGTCTGAAACTAGGTTGCAAAGTTTTCTTTTTGGTACTTGCTATCATTTGTTTTATGCTAGTGGCTTCTTTATTCTTACTTTTGTTTCATAGACTTCACCCAAGTCGTTCCAGCCCTGTTGCCATGCCAACCACCAGGCCAGCCTACCGGAGGTCATCCACCAGTGACAGGACCACCAGCCCAGGCAGGAGCGCCAACGCTGCCCCTGTCTACATAGAAGCAGGTCAGTGACAGATATGACACAACCACATAATTCTAGAACAGAAAAATATTAATACATAGAAGCAGGTCAGTGATATATACAACACAACCACATAATTCTAGAACAGAAAAATTATGGCAGTTTCTGTCTGGCATTCATGTAATGGCATGGCCTGGTAGTAGACTGCTTGAGTTCAGATCTCTGACTTGTCCATTGGTCCATATAACCCTTATGGGCACCATAATCACGTATATTATGTGTATGTGTTCTTTAAGCAGCTATGAGCAATCCCCCTATATTATGTGTATGTGTTCTTTAGGCAGCTACAAACAGATCCCCTATATTTTGTGTATGTATTCTTTAGGCAGCTATGTACAGTACCCACCCTCTCTATTATACATATGTATTCTTTAGGCAGCTATGAGCAGTCCCCTATGTGTATGTGTTCTTCAGGCAGCTACGAGCAGTCCCCCATCCTGAGTGATGTCTTCAGTGAGTGGACAGAGTCCAACATCCTCAGACAGCCAAGAGGGAGTGAGGAGGAAGAGGATAGACTGAGGAAACAAATGGAGGAGGCCATGATAGAGTCGCCTGCCCAGGAGGGGGGCCCCAACAACATGAGGCTCACAGAAGGTAAGGGGGGGGGGGGGACGACAAACACCATGACATAGGGTAAGGGGGGGGGGGGTGACCAAACACCATGAGGCTGGCATAAGGTAAGGGGGGGGAGGGAGGACAAACACCGTGACATAAGGTAAAGGAGTTGGGAGATTGCCAGACAAAATGAGACTGACAGAACATATTTAATGGCTCTGTTTACTTGACCTAACCTTTAGGATTATTGTGTGTTGGAGTTATCTTTTGTAGTAAATCGACACCAGTGGATTAAAGAGTGTGGTTTGGGGCTATAAAAAAAATCAGCTATCTGTATTGTATTTAGTTGTAATAGTTGGAAGCCAAACATTTTTTTTTTTAATTTCTATTTAGAGGGGAAAATTAGACAAAAAGCAATTTGCAGAAACAAGGGAAGCGACTCTTGTATATTTTAATTTTCATGTATATATTCAGGGTTGTGTCCCCTATTTTCCTACCACCTACTTTCTCTGTCGCGGAAAGAAAAATCTATAAGAATTGATATTTTTGACCTTTGAAACCACAGGCACGGGAAATAATCCAGGCGTGAACGTCAATTATCGCAAATAGTGTGTTATTTCGCGAGGAAAGTTCTGGCGTTGTGAGGAAATATCCAGTCCCCCAGCCAACTGACAGTGCTAATTATCCCGGGCAGGTTGTGTAGGCCTATTGCCACTTGAACCCCTGAGTGTAAAGGTCGGGCAGGCAAACACCTCGTCTAATGAGAACACAGGTATTGACAGGTCAATTGTCACAACCTGTTCATCTGTGTCATTACCTGTATCTCAGATCTGTTGATTTTTTTATATATATAATGCGGATTTATTTATAGAAATATACGAGGAATAAACCATTGAGAAATAACTCCTTTCACTGTGCAGTTTAATGAATCATTCTCTTGCCGCGGTCGTGTTATTACTTCCCCTTGCGAAGTTTGATGCGAAGGGTAAAAAAAACGCGGCTATTTCTGTGATTATTTCCCTTGGACCGCGCTGATGAGTTTGGCGCGGTGTATCATTACAGCCGGGCCGTATAGAGCTCTCTAATTTAGGAGTTAAATGGAATATAAACAGCAAGGCGGACGGCCGGGGAGTGGCTAATGATGGGATAGCTCGTCTTCATTTCATTTCCCGGCAGTTGAACAAAAAATATTGGCCATCCTGAGTTGGGGTATTTCTGCGATAGATTTGAATTAATATGTATATTACAGGTAGATCTATGATGCTGGATGATTGGGGGACAGTTGCAGGTGTATAATAAAGATGTGGGGTTTGTTTTACAAGAAGGGAATCTTGAACTTGTTTGTGTATTATAGAGGATACTGGGGAGAGGGGGGGGTCAAGGTTAGTGGGTGGTTGGTCAACTGTCCATTTAAGATACAAGGTCAGGTGTAGGATAGTAGTCCTAAAGACTCAAGGCCTAGCCTAGAGTGGTAATGGGTGGTTAGGGTGGTGGTTGAAGGCTTATGTGGGGGGGGGGGGCTGGAGGTCGGTGCCAATGGATGTGTGGTAAGGTTGTAGATTTCTTTTTAGTTGTGTCCTTGCCACTGGTTTAATGTGGCTGGCACGCTCCTACCCCTCAAATCTCCACCCCACTCCCCCACACATTCACTCCCAAATCTCCACCCCACACCTCCACAACACCTCTAAAGAGGTTTTGTATGCGGGACATCCTTACATCACCTCTGGAAAGTTTTAGGTACAATGCTCCCACAGATTCACACACCTCTACCCACACACCCCCTCACCTCAACCCCACACTACTTAACCCTCACAACTTGACCTCACTATGCAAATTATGTTTGAAAACCCTACTCCCCACCCCTACACCCCACCCATACACCCCACCCTTACACCCCATCCATACACCTCTTACACCCCACCCATACACCCCAACTCCCCACCCACCCCTACATCCCACCCCTACCCCTACCCCACCATCACCACCCCACCCCAACACTCATCTCCACCCTCACAACACGACCCCCACCCCTCCCTTCCCCGCCTTCAGTATGACCTCCTCACGTCTCCTGCTTATCAATTAGCCTTTAATTGGCCGTCTAATTATAAAGGAGCAGCTCAATAATGAACTAGTACTGTAACCTTTATCTTTCTTTATCGATCTCCCTGCCCTGTGTTGGTGCACTCTCTAGCTGTCTATTAGTTGCACAAAGTTCTAGAAACTTTGGTTGCTTCACTCATTCCTTTCTCGCATGTTACAATATTGACTTCCTAAAACTTCTTCCCTCAAAGATGGTTGCCAAATGTATGTTGGTACCTTTTGCAATTTTTGGAGGTGGGATGGACGGTGGGCAGAGGTGTGATGATGTAGAGAAGTGCCACAGTTGAGAAAAGTAATACATAAAGATGGCTGGTGAGTAGGGGCTGGGATGGTAGGTAGGGGCTGGGATGGTAGCGATAGGCTGGTGGGAAGCGGTTGGGATGGTATTGGGAAGGGGCTGGGATGGTAGTAGCAGGCTGCTGGGTAAGGGGTGGGATGGTAGCAATAGGATGGTAGGTAGGGGCTGGGATGTTAAGCTGGTGGATAGGGGCGCTAAAAGGAATAGGATCGGAATGTGTATACTGGCGTCTCGGGTTGAGAGTGGGATTAAAATAGTGCCAGCACTAAAGGTGTCAGTGTTTGATTTGTCTCTCTGTCCAGATTGTCGCAATGTATATTTTCTTCCACCTCTATCCCTGTAGACCAATTGATTAACACGAGGTGTTACTGCCTAAGAACTTTACCTACCACCCCATCTTTACCTTTCATCCCATCTTTACCTTTCATCCCATCTTTACCTACCATCCCATCTTTACCTACCCTCCCATCTTTACCTACCATCCCATCTTTTACCTACCCTCCCATCTTTACCTACCATCCCTTTCTATCTTTACCTACCATCCCATCTTTACCTACCATCCCATCTTTACCTACCATCCCATCTTTACCTACCATCCCATCTTTACCTACCATCCCATCTTTACTTGCCACCCATCCCATCTTTACCTGCCATCCCATCTTTACCTACCATCCCATCTTTACCTACCCTCCCATCTTTACCTACCATCCCATCTTTTACCTACCCTCCCATCTTTACCTACCATCCCTTTCTATCTTTACCTACCATCCCATCTTTACCTACCATCCCATCTTTACCTACCATCCCATCTTTACCTACCATCCCATCTTTACCTACCATCCCATCTTTACCTGCCTTACCATCTTTACCTGCCATACCATCTTTACCTGCTATCACATCTTTACCTGCCACCCATCCCTTCTTTACCCACCATCCCATCTTTACCTACCATCCCATCTTTACCTACCATCCCATCTTTACCTACCATCCCATCTTTACTTGCCACCCATCCCATCTTTACCTGCCATCCCATCTTTACCCACCATCCCATCTTTACCTGCCATCCCATCTTTACCTACCATCCCATCTTTACCTACCATCCCATCTTTACCTACCATCCCATCTTTACCTGCCATCCCATCTTTACCTGCCATCCCATCTTTACTTGACGTATTCTATTTGTTATTGCCTGACATCTTTACTTACCCTCCCATCTTTACGTACCATCACATTTTTACCTGATGTTTTGTACTTGTCTCTGCCTGACGCTGGACGTGAGAAAACGACTGTATCGATTTAGTCTTGGATGAATTTTCTCAGCTCTATGTTCGCTGATGGAGCCGCTTGTACGGCCCACTTTTCGTTTCCTGGGGCCGTTGGTTTAAACTTTGGTTAATGACCTGACCTTATGTGGGCGTGGCTGTCTGACCAGTACACAGAATTAGTCGTCTTTTATCTGACCACTGGCACAATATAATACAATATCTGGAGGGTTCTCATACAATATCTGGAGGGTTCTCATACAATATCTGGAGGGTTCTCATTTGATTTGTGAAAGTTTCCTTTAAAATTTTTAGGGATCCTCTACTTTTGAGACCTTTGCATTTCTTCGGGGACCATTTAGTTCCGGTGCCTACTCGAACGTTGGGTTGCAGTCATTCTTCCTGATCTATTCGTCTTTTTGTTCTGAGTTCAGGACCATCATAATTTGTCTGCAGTTGATATAAGGACCATCATAATTTTTCTTTATTCTAAAGCCTGACTATCGTCGAGATATACTGATGACATCGCACAGCAAAATGTCAACGCATTAGCTGCGCTTAGCTGCACTTAAGCACTTACCTCTGCAGTTTAAGCTCACAAGTACAAGATTGAAAATATAAATAAACACAAAAAAGTGTTAAATTTTATAATCTTCGTCTGTGGCGTTAAAAAGCCGTTAAAATATTCGCCCAAGAGCCGACTACCGCCGCCGTGTCGCCCACTCGAGGCGAGTTGTCTTCCCCTGCTAGTTTCAATCTGTGAGTTCCTCAAGACGAAGCGAAAATAATTCGCCTCTCCCCCAACCGTTTGGGTAATGAAGATAAACGAAGTTTAGCGAGAGCGGGCAACCAGCTTACCCAATGGTGTGGGTTCCACGTCCCTTTCATCGGCCGGCCCGGGGCGAGGGGGCGCCACTTGAAGCCATTTCTGTAAACTGGCAGCGACGTCTTGCTGCCTGGGTGCTTGACTCTGGGAGCCAGGCATGCGAGTACAGCTTGGCCTTTGACCCCCGGGTTGTAAACGATTGCCCTCCGTGAACCCGCGGGTGAGTCGGTGCTCAACCGTGACGACTGCCCGTGTTTACTGACGGAGATGGTGGAGATGGCTTGAGAATCCCTGGTGGTGGTACTACAGGTCGTCTAGATGTTCTAATGGATAAGATGGTTGCGTTTTTATTATAAGGTTTAGATCGAATATGACTTCAGTCACGAAACTTCGATCATCTTCTGTGACTTTACTCCTTCTCATAACGGTTGTTATAGTATAAACCACTGCTCAGTATATCCATCCATTGATGGTTATACTGGTGGTATATCCATCCATTGATGGTTATACTGGTGGTTTATCCATCCATTGATGGTTATACTGGTGGTATATC